TCTCTCTCTCTCTCTCTCTCTCCTCTCTCTCTCTCTCTCTCTCTCTCTCTCTCGCTCGCGGTTTCGGTTACGCACTGTTTTCAACGCGCCGCACGGGCGACAGTTTTAAAGTTTTAAATCGACAGACCGTACCCCAATGCCAGCCGACGAGGTTTAATGGCGCATCTTTTACATAGACGAGGCAGCTCTGGTCATACTTGGTGAATTCGCGACTTTGATCCTTCTCGCTAAATCTCCTCAGCTTTTTCTCTTTCGCAACTTGCGGAACTCAATTTCTATCCGGGATATGCGAGAAACGTACGGCAAACTTTTCCCCACATCCGCACCGAACGTTGCTCCCCGCAAATCTATCAACTTCGGGATGTGCCGGAGGAAAAAAATTTGTAAACCATTTATGGTAGAAAGAAATTTTAAAACAGTGCGCTTGGAAATGTGTCAGACAACAGATACAATCTTTAATTTGTTGCCTTTCCTCGTTGCTCTCTTTCTCGTTTGATACAACGTACGTATCTCAAGTTTCTCGTATATACATTACGTTAGAAAATCAAAACTAAAAATATAATATATAACATATAACACTCACCTCAGATCTCCTTTTTGCAAAGAAATCTCTTCAAAGACCAAACGAATTCTCTCCTTCAATCTGAAATAAGTTTAACCAAGTTACTTTGCGTTTACGTTTTTTCCTAAATGAATACATTATAACGTCTTTACTCTTGTATGAACGCCATTGTGCCAAATGCTACATAACTCGCAATATTAAAGCTTGCATTTTTATGAATACGGAAATATTATTACATGCATTTTTCGCCCGCGAGCGGTACCGCGTAGCGGTACATGCGCGCGGTTTATCTTGTTCCCCGCGGTACTAATGAAACAAGATGGGCGGGAGCTGTAATTAATTTCGTTATAAGCGCACCTAGCGTATGAATTTGTTAAAACGACAACGGCGGTGGCGACTGCGGCAGCGCGACGACGGCACCGACGACTATGTGAACAATGTGACAGGATCAAATCTCTTTGCGAGAAAAGATATATGGCTAAACGACAGAAGGTGTCTTTATAAAAAGGTTATAAAAAAAAAAATTTATGTTTATTTTGGAAAGCAAAATTGAAATATACTCGTCCTTCCACTGCTACTCCTTCGCTGCATAATTTCTGCGTTTCTTCCATTCTGTGTTTCGTTCTCACGTGTAAATGATCATTGGAAGACTCGTTCGTAACGACGGCGTGGAACAAAGGCCATCGAGAACAGTGTGTAGTGCGTTAATATAGAGTGAGTGAATCATGAATACCTAGGATAGACTGCACGCGCGTATGTACGCATATATATATATATATATATATATATATATATACATATATACGTGTACGTATCCGTCGGCTTTATAGCGGCTGGCATAGCGGCCGGCGTTGCGCGTTGACATAACTGTTAGACATATAGGACTGCACACGCTACTTTGATACAATTACTGCAATTAAGCAGCGACCCACAATACTACGGAAATCACATCCGCGCATACTGGCCCGGCGCCGCGATTAAATTCATCACGATTGAGCGACGTTCTAACTCAACTCCGTTAACTATTTCCTTTGATCGCCGTACATCCATGGATCAGACATTCACGCAAATCGATGGGCCGTGCAACAATACGTGTAACGTGAATTATGATGTTGATATATGAGACGCGGCGCAAAACGAGAAATATTAAGCGTACGTAATATATAGCTATTAAGCAGATACGTAAATTGTAACGTAAATATTTCAAAGTAGATCGAGAGAGAAAATATTATAATTATTATCTTGCTCCGAATGACGTGAATTCCGGTAAATTAATATTACCGCTTGTTAGCGTTTTGCCGGTTAACATTGGATTGCGTGCGTTGCATTTTCATACACAAATCGCGGCGAGGTCTTAACCCCGGTGTGTTCGTGGAGCCAGCTAGAGAATAGCAACGCTTCCTGCGAGGGATCATGCCAAGAACTTGCTGCTTTTTCCCTCCCCTAGCTGGGGCGCGGATGCAGCTTTTATACCGCTATACTGCGAAACGGCTCGCGACAGAACGGAACCGACGTAAACTTTACGCGGCCACGTAACAAGGAAACCGAGATGAGGAACGGCGAAAGTTGAGCCGGGTAGGAAGCCGGAAAATTTCTGCTGATGAAAGGAGCGCGATGATATCAAAATTTAGCATATCCAAAACGTGTACGTTTACCAAATTTTAGTTGTGCGAGTTGTGCGTTTTTTTTTCCGGATGCGAACAAATATGTTGAGTTCGATATGATCGAACGATGTATCCTCCGATACACTGGATTGGGTGTTAATGAACCGCGAGGCAGGATTATAGACTGTCGTCATTGAATCGCGCTAAGGCAGTAGATATATGGCGACGGCGGAGATTAGCAGCGGAGATGCATTATACATGGATTAGAACCCCCGGAACTGAGCACGCGGGCGCCCAGGAGTAGGTCAGATTAGTTACCTTGCCCGGAAGAGGTAGGAGCACCGGATATTCTTCGGATAGGAGGACGGATACCGCGGCGAGTAAAATCGTCCGTATTGAGGCGTCGATTGCGAACTGACAAACTCGTGATCGCACATCGTGCCGGGCACCAACAGACCGTCTATCTCGAATAAACCTGAAACAAAAAGAAGATGAGGATCATGTTACAACGTCGTCGACTTTGCGATACGTCTACTTATCCCGACGATCCAATTTCAGTTGTCATTTTGTCAGATATCGCTCGCGTCCCACGATTCTTTCCAGCTTGTTTAATCCATAGTTCCGTACAATTTGTGAAGATTGTGTAAATAAAAAAATTTGTTAATTAAAAAATTTCTGACAATTCAAAAAGTAATTTTTTTGGAAAAATAAAATATGTGGCGTTTTAATAATTAATACGATAATTCTGCAAATTAATAAAAATCTTGTTTTATGCGACTCATTTTTAATTATCTACAATTTCTCCGTAAAGATTATAGTTGAAAGATCTTTCTAATTGACCTCTCTATGATTTTTCTGTCACTGTTTTTTAAAAGAGCTCTTGATAAACTACCGGAATACATGCAGAGCAAATCCTATTTAAAACTTGTCTCTCGCGGAAATGGAAGTCGAGATGAAATAAAATTAACGATCGCTAGCGTATCCTTAGAGCGTGCAAATATATATCTACGGAATCCGTTACGTATCGATTAACTAGTGGTGCGTCCCATACTCCTTTCAAAGGCGTTGCGATGGTAGAATGATTCGGTTATAACTGTATATCGTTACTTGCTTACGATTAACGAAAATGTATAACGGAATAATGCACAAAACCAAAGTTAATCCCAATTTCTTTTTCTTTTTTTTTTTTTCTAACCACCCGCCACCGTTTGCGCAACCACCCGCCTCGTTACTTTTTGCACAGTAGCTGCGCGTGTTTGAAAATAAAACCAAACAGCAACTATGTATAACGGATATTTGTGCAATAGCGATTCGGACTCGTACGTTCAGGATTATGTACAAATATCTAGAATACGCGGGTTAGCGTGATAACGACATCGGCAGGAAAATTCAGTGTCGACCGATTTTGTTAAAAACGCAAGGAATTATCACCGTTCGTGTACGTACAAAGGATTCACAGTTCGTACCGTTTTTAAATTCTACGATTTCTACGGGGGTATGTACGGGCAATTACATCGCCAGCTCGCACAATTCAGAATACCCGTCGTCCTTTTGTGCTTGAAACAAAGGCCAGCGGAAAAAGCGGCAGTTTCCGAAAGATGAAAAAAAAACGAATGGAGGTTAGAGAAGGTCACTAGTCACATCTATCTGCTAGTCGAGAGATTTCCGTAAGAGAAATGTCGAATTTCAGAATGAATTAATCGTTAACACGCCCATCGACATAGACCTATTATAAGTAATACAGAAGAGCAGTCTAGAAGGTCTAGTATACGTTTGAATTGTACTCGATCAATTATCGTGATAAATGGAATTCCATTGGACTTTATGATATTCCAAGAACATAATTAGATTATGAAATAATGATCTGTCGACCTCCTCGAATATGCTATCGACATTTTCATTTAGATCCGACATTTAATATATATCAAGAACCAAAATGGAGAATAAGTATGATATAAAAGTAGATAATTTTTTTATAATAATAAAAGTCGCGGTTGTTATATCTTAATATATTTTATATTTCTTCTTCTATAACTTTTCTCTAATTTTTTTTACAATTGTAAAATAATTGTATATAAATAAAATAACAAAAATACTTGTCATTAAGAATTAAGAGAAATTGAATTAATTAAATTTTTAATTTAATTACTAGCGCACTGCTCGTATAAAATAAAGTAGCTTAAATTTATCAAAGTGATTCTCTGGGGAAAGCAATTTTTATCATCGCCTTGTCGTTTCAAGTACATAATAAAACCCAAATGTAAAATAAAAATCATAAAGCAACTCCATCTATCATGTGACATTAATGAATTAATTTCAATGCATATAAGATGTGTATCTATCTACATTATATCTTTTATAAAAGATTTTGAATTTTCGCATAAGACTCGAGCTATTCTTCAAATCTTAAATACTAATAAAAATTATTCTTATTGTACTTAACTATACTATATTTTTCTATCCTAAACATTAATATAAAAATATCCATTAAAAATTCAGAGAATAAAACAAAAATTAAACCATACCAATGATGCATATGTCATCCAATATTCAATTTATACATTTCATCGCGGCTGTGCTGATAGTTTCATAATTTGTCCGTTCTTTCAACGATAATATCAACGATCCGAACAAAGTACATAACTTTGTTTACTTTGTGGAAAAGTGCATTATTTCTTCTTTTCTTATCGTAAATTAGAACCTTTGATTAATTTCGTTCAGTTCTTCTTAAATACTCTTTTCTCTCTGCGTTCACGTCTTTCTTCTTCTCACCTTCTCGGGGTCCAGATGAACTATTTGAAGTTTAACGTTGGTGTGTTCGAAGATAGAGCTGTATGATCGACTTCACATATACACACATACATACATTTGTGCGTATAGGGTAACCTATCTCTCGCGCGGGGGAGGGGGGGGGTATCGTACGTGTACCGGACACTTGATGTCGTCTAGCTATCCGACGTCACGTTGCAGCTTGCGAGACAAGTATGGTTTACACGGAACAGCGAGAATAAAGATCAAAAAGAGAAGCCCAGAATTCGATTTTTTTATAAAAGCTAAAAAATTGAGAAAACAACAATCAAAATGCACCTCTGAGAAACGTCCGTGATTTCACACTTTTTTTTATTTTTGAGTTGACCTTACGATTCTCCGACGAAATAAAACGAACAAACCGTACTAATTTCTCTTTCATTTTTAAATTTGTTTCCAATCTTCGATGAATCTTTATAAATCAAATTTGTGGACGACGAAGCGCATGAGAATTGTACGTGTACAGCACACTTGATGACGTCGCTCGTCGCTCACAGCGTAGTGTCACGTTGCAGATTGTAAGAACGTTCTGTCTTGTTACGAACTGAAAGCTGAGTATTAGATGCAAGAAGAACGAGACATCATTGTCAAGACGACATATATCTATGACGCTTTTAATATTGGATAATTTATTAATTTTTCACCAAATCAGAACATAACGAAAAAATTCACAAATATTTTCTATCGCATTTGATAAAAATTAGACTCTACTTTTATATTTCTTTTATTAATCTAAAGTATCGAGCCTATTTCATCAGTATTGTACGTGTAAGCATTATCGTAACATTAACCTATTGAAAAAAATAAATAAATAAGATATTTGCCATATGTAGTTGAAATTAACGGTATGATTTTTCAATGCACGTGTTTAATGCGGGCTATACTCTCGACACTGATTTATTTCAAATTTTTGCGTTATCGGGAAAAGCTGTGCATACGTTTGAATTATGAAACAGTTCCATTGGGATACAGTCCCAATTACGAGTCTAGTGGCGAGTCAAAACTCTTTCAAAGTCATATCTCACGTTGCCCTGAAATTACGATCACGCAGTTTTAAAATGTTGCGCTGTATGTTTAATTCTCTCATGTTTTTTTTTTCTATTATTATTTTTCTACGTGTTACTGTGTACTTCGCTCATAAAATACTTCATAAAATATAGATTAAATATTCTTCTGCCAATTGCCAATGAGATTACGATTATTTTTTTCTTGTGTTTGTTTTTTTTTTTATTGTATTGTGATAAACGTAGCACCTTTTCATTTAACTATTTATAATCTGCATTTCTTCTAATTAATGAAACTCGTCCAAGAGTGATAAATTAAAATCCCACGGAAATACACGTCGATGTTGGCATCGTCGATATCCAATTTCCATACAGCGCACTTTTATTTCCCACGCGTGCACCCGCTAAGCTTCCGAGGGTGAAACGCCGCACCGACAGATCTTATCTGAATATTTTATAGACCAACCCGTGCCGGAGGTGACAGGCATAGCCCGGTGTCGATGCATAAAATTTCACATCACATCCTCGGTCATTCGCAGGTAGGACGGAAGACATAGATGGAAATAATAAAAAAAAAAAAAAAAAAAAAGAAGTGAACGTATTCTCAGTGACGTTACGCCTCAACGCGTCGTTTGGGGGTTAAAATTTCTCGCTTGAGTCGTGTTGGAATTTGAGTTATGTTTCAAAGCTTCTGATGCACTCCAGTCGAGAAGTTACATCGCTCACTATGGTTGCGCGACAATTTTGCATAATCTTCTCTAATATATGTTAACAATGCAACCTCGACGACATACGTAAACGTCATCGTAAAACATCGGCTTAAAGTAATTTAGATAATATGCGAAACAAACATATAAATTTACATATAATTTTACAAGATAATTTTATAAAACATGACAGTAATTGCGATAAATTCCACAATTACGTCATATCTGGTATTTTAACAGAAAGTCATATGACTAATAATTTCATATTTTCATAATTTCATTTTATTCTGGCAAATTATGAATAGAGTTGAGTTTATAATTTCATAAATGAAAAGACATGGAGAGATTGATATTCCATTGAACGGTCTGCTGCAAAGGAATCAATAGCTCGCATTCATTTTCACTACAGCGCGCTGGAGGTTATGTATAACTTTTGAGACTTTCTTACAGCTACTCTCATTTCTCGTAATTCTCTTTAGTATCGTCTTTGCGCATCGTCTTCTTGATTTCTTTATGACCATGTGAAATCTTCCACGAATGCAGAGTCAAACGTTTGCGCGGGCAAACGTAGATATACATAAAATATACACACACCAAATCTAGAAAACATGAGAGGCTTGCAGTTTCACGTTTTGCAAGTGTAGCCGCGTCGTGAAATTCATTACGAGTTTCCTAGGAAAATTACGAAGTATTCATCGCAATCGCTGATTCCGTTCGCGCGAGACCACGTCGCACCACCTTGGCTCTTTTTACAAGCCCCAAATATTCTATTGGACTTAACGAGGGTGGTGAAGCGCGACGTTTAAATGCTACCCGTAAGTAATTCCGCGCGAATAATTGGCTCTGGTTACACAAAGAGTATACAACAAAATACTCGTATTTGTAGAAAAGATTCGGAAAAGTTTCTACTATTAAGAAAATAATATAAATAATAACTATATATAAGAGGTGTTTTC